TCTTCTTTTGCATCGATACCTGTCTCTTCATCTTCTTTCTATCAACATTTGTTTTACATCTATAAAAATTATATCAACTAACAAATTTCTTTTACCATTTCTTCTTTTTTCTTCGTATTCTCTTTTTCACCTCACTCTCATTTTATTCTCTTTTTCTTTTTTTTTTTAAGGCCAGAATCCATCCACACCATTCGCTTCTACCTTTTGTTTTATTCAACAATATTCTTTTTAAGTCAATGCTATTCCGGTGTCTGCTGTTTATTGGGCATATTAAGTTGTTCGAAGCTCTCTCGCGTATAAAGAATTCTTAACCGACCAGAAACAAGTGTTTAGCGCCGAGTGGAAACCTACTTATCAACATACATCAGACAACGAATTTATACAATTTCTCCACGAAAGTAACGCAAATGCGCAGTTATATATATATATATATATATATATATATATATATATATATATATATATATATGGTGTAAATTCACATGTAAATATATCTGTAAAGACGGTAAAAATAAAACACAAGAGGAAAAGCTTCAATGCCAACGCATGTCGTTCTTTGAGAACCTTTCTCAAACAACTGTAGGAATTTTGTATATAAAAGTAAAATGGAGAAAAATTAAAATAATCTTATTCTACAAACTTATTGTGTAAGAGAAAGTAAACTATGGATTTATATATATATATATATATATATATATATATATATATATATATATATATATATATATATACGTTGGTAACACAAAACTATCCGCATTTTTTGCATATCATGTCTTTATATAAGAGTGCGGATAATATATATATATATATATATGTGTGTGTGTGTGTGTGTGTATTTATGTATGTATTTATATATATATATATATATATATATATATATAAAATAAGAGAAAAATGATAACACGAGCGACAAAACATCTTTGAAATGGTTATAGAATTGGTCGGACTCGCTTGGGACAATAAAAAGCATGGATTCTGTTCCTATTTACTTATACAATACGGAAACACGTAAGGATGCTGGAAAAAAACTTAATAAAAAAATTCATTCGTTCATTTGTCGGTCGTATTCAAGGAAAGATGTTTAAAAAATGTTGCTAACCAAAACACACACGCACATAACTTGTATTTAATCTTAAACATGACAAATGTACAGATGCGTTTACTTTTAACCAGAACATCACAGCAGAAATTTACTGCCAGCATCTGGATGAAATGCACATTCAATGAAGCAAAATCCGATCGATAGTGGTTAATCGAGGTCGAATTCTGCTTCATGAGAATACTCGGCCACATTTTGACCGCCTGGCATTGCAGAAGCTCAACAACTTGGGATAGGTTTTGCCACGCCCATCACATTCCTCTGATCTCTCCTCTACGGACGACCACTTTTTAAAGCCTTTTGACAATATTTTTTAAAGACAAACGATATTCCATTTCAAACAAAGGTTTCCTGGCATCCAAACTTTTATTGTAATTGTAGATCAATGTCAGAAAATGTATAGATGTTCAGGGTTCCTATTCTGACTTATTTAAACACTGTTTAAATGCATTAATTCATGAACAAATTCGATTCGATTGGTGTGTCTTCTTTCTTCTCTCATTCTCCGTCTGTGCTTCCCTCAGCATCTTTCAATTGCACCATATCCCTTTTGTTTCATGTTTCATCTTCATCTATAACGAAATGGGAAATACATTAATGTAGGAATAAAATTTCATTTCAAATTCGGACATTATTTTCCGAAAAACCTAATACTTAAAACGTAACTAAATAGTTTAATATATCCTCAGATTTGCTTTGTAAGAAATGAAACCTCGTTAAATGACACAATGTCGGTATATGTTGCGCAAAATATATTACTCCTTCTTAATGATTAAAAGGTATTTTTTCATTCTTTTCCTTTTTCTTCCTTTTTTCGTTTTCTTCCTTTATTTTTACTTCTTTTTTCGTCCTTTTCTTTTTTCTTCCTTCTCCCTTCCTTTTTTTGTCCTTCTCCCTTCCTTTTTTCGTCCTTTTAACTTTTTCTTCCTTCTCCTTTTTCTTCGTCTTTTCTTTTTCTCTCTTTTTCTTACTTTTTTTCTTTTTCTTTTGCCTTTTTTCTTCTCTTTTCATTTTTAGTCTTTGGTCCTCTTCTTAATGCACTTTTTCTTCTACTGTAGCGATTTTCCAAGCATAGCTTAGATGTGGCACAAGCCCGAAAGTATGGGTCACCCATTGAGGATCGAACTCACTACTCAGTCGTAATTGTTTTATCGAGACAAGCTTGCTAACCATTTAACAACGCCGAGTTGCCCAAATCATTCTCAAATAATTTTCTAAGCACAGCTGAGATGTGGCACAAGCCCGAATACATTGGGCACCCAGTGGGGATTGAACTCTCTACTCAGTTGTAACAGTTCTAGCGATACAAGATTGCTAACCATTACACCACGTTGAGATGCCCAAAAGTGATTTTCCAAGCGTAGCTCAGATGTGGCACAAGGCCGAATGTTTTAGGTACCCAGTGAGGTTCGAACTCACTATACAGTCGTAACAGTTCTAGCCAGAGAAGCTTGCTAACCATTACACCACACCGAGGTGCCCCTTTTTCCTATTCTGTTCTACATATATGAGGACTTGTGTTTTCACGTAAGTCAGGATTTGTCAAGTGTTTAGTGCATACTTGACTTCAAGTTCGACATATAAAATTATGGTTTTGGTTTGGGTTAGCTCAGCTGCCTCAGCAGTTAAAGAAGCTATTATTATATATTAAATAATGTTATGATAAAATATATAAAGAAGAGATAAGTTTCATTTACGTTTAAATTATGTATCGTATTAAGTATTCCTAATGTTTGAAAAAGAGATGAAAAAACAGTAGGTAGGCATTGAGACATTAATTTTAATACATGTGCATATATAATATATACGGGCATAAAAGGATGAGCCTGTAAGAAACATTTACAAAACACGAATAGAGTATTTTCCTCGCAAACAAGGAAGTAAAGAACCAAGTGATACCAAACAAAAAGTACAAACTTTGAAACGAAAGAAAAATGAAAAAGAGAAAATGAAAGTATAAAAATCAATCAAATTAGCACAAATATTGATTAATCTTTTTACGGATTATCAAACATTTTACGGTTATTCAGAGCCGAAACTTATTTTTGGGATGTAAGAATGTTTTGGAGATAATAATTATAATAATAAACTTCTGATGCAAATCTTAATAATTAAACAATAGCTGGGAGGAGAAAAGATCGATTCATACCTTTCTAAAGGATAGTTTCTGTAAGTAAAAATAACGAACCAGGAATTTGAACTCGGCTCTCTGATTTCTCGTTCTGACTCATTATCTATTACACCACACGCACATCTAAGCTTACAGCGCCCACTATTCTCGTGTTGTCACTTATCTAGTTGTCCTGGCTAGGTTCAACGTTGCTTAACTTCGGTGATCGTATGAGAATCGGTGTTTCCACGTCATATGAGCGTAGTCGGAAGCAAAAAGACGGAATTTATGAAAGGAAGATAGAAAAGAAAACGTGACCCTCCCGAGCTAAAAAAAAAAAATAAAGACAGAAAGAAAGACATTATTAAGGAGTAGGAGGGGGAGAATAGAGATTTAAAAAGAAAAAATGAGTGACAGCAAAGAAATTAATTAATCAAAGAAGATTAAAAAGAAAAAAAAAGGAGAGAAATAGGAAAAGAAAATAGTAGAAAAGTAGAATTAATAACAAAGAAAGAAAGAAAGAAAACAGAAAAAAAGACATTTTAGGGGAAAAGTAAATAGGGAAAAAATTATTAGTCAAAGAAAACGAAAAAAATAATGCGAAAATGTAAATGAAGGAAAAACAGGCATAGAAACGGAAGAACAAAAAGAAAGACAGAATGAAAAAAAAGCAGACAACGTGATAAAGAAGATCAACCTGTTCGCCGCAAAAAAATGCTTTAAATAGAGAATGAAAGAAACACCCAGCACATTTAAAAGAAATGAAATAATTCATATTCACTCGTTCATAATTTTCTATTATAGCCTTTTCTCCACATTCAATCAATTCATTTACTGAAGCACCTATTTTCTATCGAAGATCCTATATAGCATTTTTGCATAACATTTCTAAAGAACTGTCAAGATTCCTATTTTCACATGCATGTTCTCTAAATACAAAATATAAATACACGCCTACCATACAATCCTTTATTGATATCACTCTTTGTTGAGAGAATAATAATTTAGTTAAAATCCACAATGTCATATGCAACGGAACGAGGCGTATAACACGTACAGCTGTTCATGAATAGTTTAGTCATATGGTCTATTAATTGAGTGCTCTCATATTGTTACCTAATTGTAAATATATCTACGATACTGGTGTCCACCATCGACATCCATGGCAGCTCTACGCAGGAGATAAGATGAAGGCTGGAAATAGTGAGAATGGTTCGACAAAAATGGGAAACACCTGGAATAGTTGGAATATCAATATCAGCCTAAATTTGAATGACTACATGCCACTGTTTCGCCTTCATCGGCTACAGATGCAATTTATGGGCATGGTCTAAGAGGGAAAAACGCCAGATTTATACTTTTGAGATATAGGCATATTACAGACTTTTTAGAATGCCATAGACAGCGTGATTCATTAGTAAATGGGTGCTAGATACCCTCAAAATAGGGTACGTCTTGGCAGAGCATATAGCACTAAAAAGCTCTTTTACTTTGGGCATATTATGGGACTTATGTGGCTTCGATAAAGACATTCAGCCGAGCCCCGTGGAGAGCAGGTGTGGCCAGAGACGATGACTAATTTCTTTGTTTGAGTGTGGTCTGAAATGACGGTGGGTAAGGCTTTAAGGGTACCATTAGACAGAAAGAAGTGGTGATCTGTTGTAACCTAAGGAGGGTTACTGAATAGAATAATCACACAAAGGTTGGTAATGTACGATAATACTTAGTACAAGAACAACACATACAAGATTCACCAGCGGAGCGTAGAAGTAGTAGTCAACTGCTTGAAGC